GTGTGCACTGGCAGGGCCACTCTACTGGAGGTTCTGGCAGGTATATTTTGCTCTTGAGGAAGCTATGATGAGGGCCCCCAGGAAGCACCCCAGCTGAGTATCCAAGACTCTAAGTGGGCACTGCCAGGCTGGGACCCTAGGGAATCCCAGCAGATGGGGGTTCTCAGATCAGACTGCCCCTTTACATAGGCAAGACTGTCCTGCTTTGTATAGATCCAACAATCCCCTCAAGAGTAAAGTCTCCTAAAACGGCACAGTGACACATGGGGGATGGGAATCCCTGGTCATGTTCCACTGATGGCATTTCTGCACCAAACTCTCTGGACCCTGCATGGTCTGGAATCTTGCCCCTACCACATCTCTAAGTAGCTCTCTGGAAGCTCAAGTGTCTGTGGGGGTCATGGAGTCTCCTGCTGCCAGGATCTCAGCTGTTCATGATGAGAGCAGGTCATACCTTGCTGGTTCATTTACCTCTTCCCCAGGAGTCACTGGGAGCCAGGAACAAGTCCCAGGGCTTGGCAGGCCTTTGCAGGGTTTCCAGCTTCTTCCCATTCAGTCTAGCATCTGTGTCCTGTCTATATCCACTTTCAATCCCTTCCCTCCAAAGCTTTGCTCAGAGTGTGTAAGTATCCCAAATGTCCCAGTCTCTCAAGGACAGATGTTTCTTCTGGCTGCATGTAGTCAGACACCTTGAATCCTGCCTCCACGTTTACTTTTAAAGGTTGCTAAATTTATCCCATTATTGATTTCTAGTTTTATAGTATTAAAGTCAGAAAAAGATACTTGATTTAAATTTGATCTTCTTAAGTTTGTTAGCACTTCTTTTGTGGCCTGTCATATAATCCAACCTGAAGAAACTTCTATTTGCAGTTGTGAAGTATACATATTCTATAGCTGTTGAATGGGATGTTCTGTAACTATCCCTTAGGTTAGGCGTATTTGGTGAAGAGCGCAGTTTAAATTCAATGTTTCTTTGTCGATTTTTCTCTCTGATTTGTCCACTGTTGAAATTTGGCTGCTGAAATACTCTTCTATAGTGCAGTCTATCTTTTCCTTTAGACCTATTAATATTTGCTTTGTACATTAAAGTGCTCTAATGTTGAGTGCATATTTATTTTAAATTGTTCTATTCTTTTGCTGAATTGAACACTTTATTACAATATAATGACTTTCTCACTTTTAATCATTTGTGACTTAATCTATTTCATCTGATATAAATATAGCTATTACTGCTTTCTTTTGGTTTCCATTTGCATGAAATAAGTTTTCATATCCTTTCAATTTCAGTCTATGGGTGTCCTTACAGGTAAAGTAAGTCACAGGCAGCATATAGTTGGGCCTTTTTAAAAAATGTGTTAAGGCACTTTATGTCTTTTAGCTGGGTAATTAATCCATATGCATTAATGATGATATTTGATAAGTAAGGACTTACTAGTACCCCTTTGTGAATTGTTTTCTAGTTGTTTCATTGATCTTCTTTTTTTCCTCTCCTATGTTCTTCTCTGGTGGCTAAGTAATTTATCTTTATGAATATTTTGATTTCTTGCTTTTTGTTTAGTGTATCTAACATAGGTTTTTGCTTTGTGTTAAACATAAGAATTATTAAAAAGTTATAATTATATGGGTTAAAGTGAAAAATTTGTTCACAAAGAAAAAAACAAAAATATAGGCAAAAAAATCTAACCTTTCCACCTTCTCTTCCCCTGATTCTTAATGCTTAATATCACAATTTACATTTTCATATATTTTTCTTAATTATTATACTTATCTATGCTAATAGTTTTGTGTTTTTACCTTCATACTAAAGATGTGATTTGTACACCACCATTACATTATTAGAGTATCCAGAATTTGATTGTGTAATTTACTTTGTCCAGTGACTTATATACTTTCAGATGTTTTTGGTGTACTTATTACTGTCCTTTTATGTCATCTTGAAGAATTCCCTTTAGCATTTCGTGTAAGATAATTGTGTTGGTAATGAATTTCCTCAGCTTTCAGTTTTCTATAGGTCTTTATCTCTCATTTCTGAAAAATAGTTTTGCTGGAAAATAGTATTCTTGGTTGACAGGTTTTTCTTTTTTCAGAACTTTGAATATATCATCTTACTCTATTCTTGCTTATATTGTTTCTGCTGAAATGTTTGCTGTTTGATATGTTGGAACTTTCTTAAACGTTATTGGTTTCTATTCTTTTGCTGCTTTTGAAATTCTTTGTTTTTGATCTTTGACAGTTTGATTATAATTTATCATCGAATAGTGTCATTTGGATCAAAATTGATTATATAATTTTGACTTTCCAGTACAATGATATTTATATGTCTCCCCAGATTTGGAAAGTTTTCTGTTATTATTTATTTAAATAAGCTTTCCACCCCATGTTTTTTTTTTAGTTCCACTCAACATTAACCATGTTTTCTCGAAACACCTATGATGCTCTTTTGCTACTATCCTACAAATCTTATAAGCTTTCTTCCTTACTTTTAATTATTTTTTCTCCCTGAGTGTGTATTTTCAATTAACCTGTCTTAAAAATCACAGATTATTTTCTCCAATTAAATCCACTACTGATTCTCTCTATAGCATTTTTAACTTTGCTAATTATGTTTTTCAGCTCTAGCATTTCTATTTTAAAAATTATTTCCGTATTTTTTTTTTACATATCTCTGATAATTTTTGAATTGTTTCTCAGTATTTTCTTGATGTTTGTAAAGCCTTTTTAGAATGCTTATTTTGAATTATTTGTCAGGCAGTTCTTCCATCTGTTTAGGGTCAGTCACTGGCACATTATTTGTCTGTTTGGTGATATTACGTTTCTCTGATTGATCTAGATTCTGGCGGTTGTGCATCAATGCTTAAACATTGACGTAGGTACTTAATTTAATTGTCAAAGTCTGGCTTTGTTTGGAACTGCATTCAGCAATAAGTTTGTCCAGATTTTCGGGGGAAATTGGTGACAATTGTAAGCTAATTACCACTTCAGCTATGTCAGCTCTAATGGGAAATGTAATCCCAGGACCACTATAGTCAGAATCCTTCGGCCTTCAAGGGTAACACAGTGTTGGAATGTAGCTAAGGCCAATGACCACCTAGACCTGTGCAGCACTGGAACATGCCTAAGGCCTACTGCTGGTATGGCTTGCCTACCACTGAGGTTTATTCAAGGCTGGAGGCTGCTGTAGTTACCTTGTGGTAATGTGGGCTGGATATTGAATTATTCTTGCCAGGGCCACTGGTTTCATTACAGCACAGGGCTGGGTCTAGAAGCTTCATCTCTGTGAACTAGCCTAGTATCAGGAGCCACAGCGTTCTGCTCAGTACTCAGCTTTACCGAGGTGGGCCCCAGGCCTGTGTTGTAAGGCAAAGTGTTATGCTTACTTTTCTTTCCTTTCTTCAAGTGAAAGGTGTCTATTTATGTGCTGTCCTTCCTGGGGTTTGGAGAGAGGCAACATAGGAAATACCATGGCCACCAACACTGATATAATGTTGGGTCACATCTAAAACCCACTGCCACTGAGAGCTGTGTGGCACTGGGTCATATCTAAGGCCTGCAGGTGCTATGATCTGCCTGCCACTGAGGTTTCTTTGAGACTTGAGATCACTGTAGTCGGTCAGTGATGATGCAGGCTAGAACAAAAGTCTGTATCACCAGGGTTATAGGTTCTTTTCTGATGCCATGGAGGGTCTAGAAGCTCCATTTGTGGGTATTGACTTGGTGTCAGGACCCTAAGGGTTCTGCCCAGTACTGTGTTTAACTGTGTAAGGCTCAGTACTTAGTTCCAAACCAAATCTTTCTCCTTCGCATAAGCAGATCTTGTCTCTCTCTTCACTCTGCTGCTTTGAGTTGATGAAAGAGTGATTCAGGTAATGTAAAACTGTCCTTGTACCTTATTCAATGCTTCTTTTCTTCTTATTATTATGCTACAGCCAGGAACATTGTCATTGATAGATTCTTGAAAACTGCCACTTTAAAAGACATACAACAGATTCTGAAATAATGTTTCATTCAACATTATTTTGCTATAACATTGATGAAGAAAAAAATTGATTTCCTGAATTCTTGGGAAGGTTTTTCCGGTGTACAGATAGTTGTTCAAATTGATGTTTCTTTGGAGGAACAATCCCTGGAGAGGTCTCCTTCACCATCTTGTCGAGCTTCTTGGTATAACAATTATCAAAGACTGAATAGTAAGCCTCTAAAAATCCATAACAAATATCGATTAGCATGAATAAAAAATATGTAGTTTGAAGTTTTTGCTTCTATAGAAGAGCCATTATCAATTTCTATTAAATTATCACCCATTCTGAAATGGAGTTTTGAGTTACTGTTGGTAAATGTCTTGCCTATTCCAATAAGTATTTGCATTTTGGAGTCACGTTCTAACAAAAGGTAACTTATGCCCAGTTTGTCTACATGCCTGTCTCACAATTTAGAAGTTTATTTCTCATTACTGCCAAGGTTGTCATTCAAAGCTGGTGATAAAGGATGAAACAGTAGACATCAGGCTCAGTAACAGATTAATTCCTGAAATTAGGCAGCTTTCTGGACAGAGAGAATATATTTCAGTTGTTGCTTTATTTTTTCTATTTTACAAATTATACCAGGAAATTTGATGGATCTTCAAACAGATAAGGTTTAATGGTCATTAAAAGGGTAAACTTAGCTACCATTTCACCTGCTGGCTGCTTACCTTTTAAAAAATCAGCTAAGTGGATAGCATTCAGAGAAATACCTAATGTAGATGACGGGTTGATGGGTGCAGCAAACCATTATGGCACATCTATACAGATGTTACAAACCTGCATGTTCTGCACATGTATCCCAGAACTTAAAGTATAATTTTTTAAAAAAAGAAGTGCAGGCTGATTTCAAGATATATGTCTCCTAATTGTGTTTTAGAGGAAATGTTTTTCAGAGCAGCTCTTTTAGAGAAGGTCAAAGTCCAAGTATAGGAAATCTTAAACGCACTTAGATGATCCTCATTGCTTCTTAGAATGGAAAAATATACATGACTGATTAAGGGAAGAAGGCTTGCTTCCCTTCAAGGAATAAGTAGGTAGTTAAAAAAAATTCAGTTAAGTATGATATTTTTCCATTTAAAATCACTTTTGAAACTGATTCTATTATATACACATCTTTGATCTGGTAAAGAAAGAAAAAACAGGCCAGGGGTGGTGGCTCATGTCTGTAATCCCAGCACTTTGTGAGGCTGAGGTGGGTGGATCACTTGTCAGGAGTTTGAGATCAGCCTGATAAACATGGTAAAACCCCATCTCTACTAAAAACACAAAAATTAGCTGGGTATTGTGGCGGGCAGCTATAATCCCAGTTGTGTGAGAGGCTTTGGCATGAGAATCACTTGAATGTGGGAGCCGGAGGTTGCAGTGAGTAGAGATCCCATCACTACTCCAGCCTGGGCGACAGAGTGAGACCCCATCTCAAAAAAAAAAAAAAAAGATGAAAAGAAGGAAGGAAGGAAGGGGGGGAGCAAGGGAGGGAGGGAGGGGCAGAGAGGGAGGGAGGGAGGAAAGAAAGAAGGAAAGAAAAGAAAGAAAAAAGGAAAGAAGGAAGGAAGAAAGGAAGGAGGGAAGGAAACCATATTCAAGGTGATTAAAGTTGATTTCAGGACAACCCATTAATGATGCTTGTATGTGTAAAATGAAGAAAGAACATCAAATTTTATAATAGGTAGAGAAAATGTAACTGGTAACAGACTCACCCAGTCACTGAAAACAAGAATATAACTCAACATATATATGAGGAAATTGTTTTCAGTAACTGGACAATAACAAGTACAAGACTGTGATTCTTCAGAAAAGGTAAACACAAAGTGAGGAATGGTATCTTCCTGTATTTCTGTCTGGAGGCACATTTCTACCCTAGGGCAGGATTATACACCCCAAGTAGTGCTGGATATTGCTGAGCAGAGAAGGCAGAGGTCCAAACTCCAAGCTGTTGAAAATATTGGAATCTGTACAGCAGTGTAACACAGAAGAGATCTGTGCAAAGAGAGGGACCCAGAAATCTGCATGGAGATTTATTAATACTGTTAACTCTATAGCCAAAAATAAAGTTCTGCATATGTGAAATTCTGGTAGCCTTAGTAAGAATGACCTATTGCCCTGTTGAGTGCTAAGCAATGATCTAAGAGGTCATTTGAGGCTAGGAGACACTGGAGTTCCAGCTGATATAGAATGGAGAGACCTCACTAAACACACTAGGATGAACACCTACCTTGATACCCAAAGAAGTCCTCGCCTTAGCAGTATGCCCCATGCCCTAGAATAAGGGTCATGGCCTCAGAAAAAGTTAAAGAACAAAGTAATGCTGTTAGTAAATAATAAAATCTTACATAATATATCTAAGAGGAATGACCAATAATTTTAATAACTGTCTGAATAAAACTCAATGCCCTTTAAAGAGAATGACTCTCCACAATGTATCACTCATAATGTCCATCATACAATTACAAATTGTTTTCTAGGCATAAAAAGAATTCTAAAATTGTATTTTGTAATCAAGGTGAGAATATCAGTATTTGAAAAGTGATTATCATACCCTAACTTGAATCTGTGTTTTATGCAGATGTTACTATGGCATTTTTTTTTCTCAGTAGGAATCTTAAGCCTTTAAAGACAGCTAAAAATAGGTTGGTATGTTGCCTTCACACTTCCAATTTTCTAATCTGGTACGGTTTTCCTAACAGGTTCGATTTAATTGTAATCATAGATCTCTGACTCAGCTGTGTGTTCACTAATACCTACAGAGCATCTAATATCATATACTATCTGAATATACTAGTTCATGTTTAATTAACTTATGCTTCTTCCTTATTAGTTTTTTATTGCTAGTCTTAACATTTGCTAGTTTTCCATTAATATTTTCTCCAGTAAGCTTCCCTTGGTCCAAATTTGAAGAGCCCATCAACATATAACAACTTTCTCATCTGTTTTCCAAGCCTTTATTTACTTTAAACTCTTTATGCTGAGGGACATTTGCTATATCCAGCACTTTAATGTGTATAGACAGAATCCAGCAATCAGACAGCAAGCCTAAAATCTACTTAATTATACCATCACACTTGTTTTGGTTCTGTTATTCCTATAAATGTGAGAAAGAATATTAGTTTTTTTCTGTAGTAAATATGTATAATTATTTCAGTTATACACATTTATAGAGAAAACATTAGGTAAAATTCACATTTCTTAGACTGAGGAGTATGTATTTCTGGTATCAAAAATAATTCATTTTCAAATTTCAGATGCTCCCCAAATGCTATATGCCACCACAATGACACCTAGCTAATTATCACACTGTATCTTTGACCAAGCCATTTCCAAATTGTCGCTCTTTGGATTTCTAAAAGCTTCAAAACCCAACTTAAATCTTATCTCCTCCTGGAAGCTTTCCCTTCTAACAAATACTTTTATCTGCTTATTTTTTCTCCACCCATACAACAATAAAGTTCCTATTTTTTTCATAAACTAACAACTATGTTGACAATTATGTACATAAAATACAAGCAAATTTAATGTATGAAGACTTTCAACAATTGGACAAAATGTGAAAACATGGATATTTTCATATTTCATTGTGTCCCCTGATTGATAAAGGAAGTTGTGCCTAGTGTCTCTACCCTAAACACACACACACACACACACACACACACACACACACACACACACACACGAATGTCACTAAATGAAGTCATGGCAAAAACAAAATCTATGCTTAAGAACATTTTAATTGATCTCATGAACGTTTAAAATTACTTCTAAATAAAAGAATGAAGACTAAGCCTTTAACAATATTTTTTCACTATCTTTAATATCTCATATAGTAATTACCTACTTTTAACATTGGAACATTATTTTTACTCCTCTTCCCCTTTCGTTACCTCTACTTATTTTCCAGTTCTTTTCACCTTTTTATAACCAAGGCAAATTTAAACGTTCAAAACTATCATAATGAGATGGGGAATGCAAATCAGCTTTGTAACCCCAATGACTTGCTCTTTTTCTGCAGAGAAACTAAAGTCTAGCTTTATAGCAATAAGATTGATAGAACTCATACAGACGGATAAAATTGAAAGCTTTGCACTCACTCTTTGTTCAACGATTTCTCCTCAGCTGACAATATTTTTTTTACTCTAATCCCTGATCTGCTGCATCTTGGTAGTCTATCTAGGTTTCAAATGCTTTTCACTCAGAGTCATTTTTATTCAATGTTCGGGATTCTCTTATCTGCTGCTTAAAAGGTAACTTGTTTAGTTGTATTTTTCCTAGAAGAAGCATATCAATAAAGGGAAGAATATTATTTTTTCAGTTTCCCACTGGGAAGACAAATCTCAGTAATCTTTTTGCATAGCAGAGATAAAAACAGACAAATGTAGTCAAGTCCAAGCAATACACAAGAGAATTCAATCTGATGTCCCATGAGGGCCATGGAAAGTAAACGCATGCATTCTCTCTGCTCAACAATTTAGATCCAATCAAGACGAATCCCTCATTTACATGAAAATCCATGGTAGGTAAAACAGGATATTTACTTTTACTTTTCAGATGCTTCTGATACAGCAATAACAGGAATATTAGTCATAAAGTATTTCAAAATATGATTCATTTAACAAATCCTTACTGTAACACACTGAGGCCTCACAAAGGGGAAATTTTGCAGGTCTTGAAGAACAAAATTGAATTATGCCTTTCATGCTGAACTCCTATGTTCTTTAAAGTGCACAGCCCATCATTAGCATTCAATATTAAATAACCATGAGGACCAGTTCACGTCTTACAATACTCCTTTCTCCATCAACCATCATCCATCCACATGTTAAACTCTAGCAGGATTCTCTAACTGGAGAAAAACTGACCTTTTTCATGTTTCTTTTATTCTACCAGGGTAAAATCTGAAAAATATTCATCTCTTTCGCAAGCTTTCTTCAGGGCTTCCTTTCAATAAATTACCGTAAAAGCCAAACCTGGATCAATCAATAGGCTTTACCCAAAGTATCAGATGTGCTGAAACAGAGACAAGTAAAAAAGAATCACAAGTCATCAATAATAAATTAGTTTGTCTGCAGTAGGTATAACAGGCCAATATGAGGAAGGACTTACTCCTGAGTTATTTATCCTCTTTATCACAGGAAGATTTCAGTGATGAAGATACAATTTAAGAAAAAAATGTGTTTTTATCTACCCGTCCAAATTATTTTCGTCTTACTTTCAAGTCAATTAACTGAAAATAATACTTTCAGCTCTTTCTTCTACTCAACTGTTTTAGGTACTTCTGCCAAAAACAACAAGACCACAGTGTGCTATACAGTCTCCTATATGAAATTCATCAGAGATTCTGTCAACCCACAGAAATGATACTGAAATTAGAGGAGATTTGAGATTTCAAAAGGAATCAATGTAGTAAGAAAGCAGTGGGTGGCAAATTGATTTCAAAATAGTAAAAACAAACTGTAGGAATCCATGAATTAGAAATAGGTATTTAAATTATATTATTTTGAAGTAATTATAATAGTCTGTAGACTATTAGTAAATCCATTTTGCCTTATAACCACTAATAAAGTCATAATTTCTTAATTAAATACAATAAAGTCTAAATCACAAACATGGACAAAGGGAGGGGAACATCACACACTATGGCCTGTGAGGGGGTGGGGGCTAGGGGAGGGATAGCAGGGCATGGGGAAGCAGAGGAGGGATAGCATTAGGACAAATACCTAATGTAGATGACGGGGTGATGGATGCAGCAAACCACCGTAGCACATGTATATATATGTAACAAACCTGCACGTTCTGCACATGTACCCCAGAACTTAAAGCATAATAAAAAATAAATAACACAAGTTTAAAAACTGAAAGCCAATGCCCCCCTCCCCCAAAAAATGACACAATAGTTTTCTCATTGCCAGGAACAATCGATCCATGCCTAAAGAAGTAAAGAAGCACCTTTATATTACTTTCGTTGCCATTTTAAAAGTGTGGATAGAATGAACAGTACACTATGAATATCACATGAGCAGTTGAAGAGGCAAGCGTTAAAAGATGGAAAGAAAAATCTCAGACATTGGGGGATAGTTATAAGTTGCTACTGAATGTAGAAAAGGGATTATGAGAACAACACTACGTGTGGGAGGGAGTCACAATGTGTATAAGAAAGAATTCCATCACAGAGAGTATTGCCGTCTACAATGCCGTGGTCTACCTTCTAATCTCCCAAATTCTCTCTCTTTGAAGTTGTCTCATCAGAAGCAAGACATCTGCAAAGCTTACTACGGATGAGTGTCCCTTTCTCTGTATAACACTGACTAGTAACTCTTCCCTCTTCTAATCTATCTCCCTCTGTACTATAGCCAGGATGATATTTTCCAATTTAAGCACCTAGTAAACTCAAGTTCCTTTTTGCTTAAAATGTTTTAATGACTTTGAATCCCTCAAGGAACCCGCACAGCCATATCTGTTCTCCCCTATCCCTCAAGTCTCATCTCACATCTACCCCTCTTCTGTTGCCATAATGCTATCAGTTTCTATTTACTCTAACCATTAGCTATCATTTGAAATGCTCCTCCTATGTTACCTTTCTCCCTCCCTACTATATACACAAAATTACTTTATCTTTCAGGTAACTTCCTTGGGGCAGGGGGATCTTAGCTGACTTCAGTTTATGTCAATATATTTTTGTTATGGGCTCTCAAAAAATCATGTTTCTTTTGAAGTTCTTATCTTAAATGTTATTTGTGTATTCAGCAGTGGAATCATTTAATTGATGCCCATTTTATATACTAGTAACGTTTCCTACTGTGACATTACTAGCAGTTGAGCTGAATAGTATTTTATGGTGGAGGCTGTCTTGTGCATTGTGGTACATTTAGCAGCATTTTAAGCCTCTATCCACTAGATTCTAGTACCACACTTCCCTCCCCACCTAGAGTGTAACAACAGTAAACGTCTCCAGATGCATTTGCATATATTGCACCAGGGTATAGTTATGAAACCATTAACGCTATGAACGTAGTGACCTAATTTTTGCTCATTATTTTATTCCTATGCCTAAGACAGTGCTGAGTTTTAGTGGGTACTTAATAAATACATAATTTTAAATGATAAATGTTGAGTCATGAAGTAATTTTTCATATTTTACTGTGTTTTAGGTTTGGGGGTAGATGTGAGGAACATGCACGATTGTTGCATAGGTACATACATGGCAAGGTGGTTTGCTGCCTTCCTCCCCATCACCTATGTCTGGCTTTTCTCCCCATGTTATCCCTCGCCAACTCCCCAAATCCCACTGTCCCTCCCCTAGTTCCCTGCTACAGACCTCAGTGTGTGATGCTCGCCTCCCTGTGTCCATGTGTTCTCATTGTTCAACACCCACCTATGACTGAGAACATGCAGTGTTTGATTTTCTGTTCTTGTGTCAGTTTGCTGAGAATGATGGTTTCCAGGTTTATCCATGTCCCTACAAAGGACATGAACTCACGGTTTTTTATGGCTGCATAGTATTCCATGGTGTATATGTGCCACATTTTCCCTCTCCAGTCTATCATCAATGTGCATTTGGGTTGTTTCCAAGTCTTTGCTATTGTAAACAGTGCTGCAATGAACATTTGTGTGCATGTGTCCTTATAACAGAACGAGTTATAATTCTTTGGATATATACCCAGTAATGGGATTGGTGGGTCAAATGGAATTTAAATTTCTACGTCCTTGAGGAATTACTACACTGTCTTCCATGATGGTTGAACTAATTTACACTCCCACCAACAGTGTAAAAGTGTTCCTATTTCTCCACAGCCTCTCCAGCATCTGTTGTCTCCAGATTTTTTAATGATCGCCATTCTAACAGGCATGAGATGGTATCTCAATATGGTTTTGATTTGCATTTCTCTAATGACCAGTGATGATGAGCATTTTTCATATGTTTGTTAGCCTCATGTCTGTCTTCTTTTGAAAAATGTCTGTTCATATCCTTTGACCACTTTTGAATGGGCTCGTTTTTTCTTGGAAATCTGCGTTAGTTTTTGTAGATTCTGGATATTAGCCCATTGTCAGATGGGTAGATTTCAAAATTTTTTTCCCATTCTGTTGGTTGCTGGTTCACTCTAATGATTGTTTATTTTGCTGTGCAGAAGCTCTGGAGTTTAATTAGATCCCATTTGTCTATTTTGGCTTTTGTTGCCAATGCTTTTGGTGTTTTAGTCATGAAGTCCTTGCCTATGCCTATGTCCTGAATGGTTTTGCCTAGATTTTCTTCTAGGGTTTTTATGGTGTTAGGTCTTATGTTGAAGTCTTTAATCCACCTGGAGTTAATTTTAGTGTAAAGTGTCAGGAAGGGGTCCAGTTTCTGCTTTCTGCACATGATTAGCCAGTTTTCCCAACACCATTTATTAACGAGGGAATCCTTTCCCCATTGCTTGTTTTTGTCAGGTTTGTCAAAGATCAGATGGTTGTAGATGAGTGGCATTGCCTCCAAGGCCTCTGTTCTGTTCCATTTGTCTATATCTCTGTTTTGGTACCAGTACCATGCTGTTTTGATTACTGTAGCCTTGTAATATAGTTTGAAGTCAGGTAGCATGATGCCTCCCGCTTTGTTCTTTTTGCTTAGAATTGACTTGGCTATGCGGGCTCTCTTTTTGTTCCATATGAAGTTTAAAGTCTTTTTTTCCAGATCTGTGAAGAAGGTCGTTGGTAGCTTGATGGGGATATCATTGAATAAATAAATTACTTTGGGCAGTTATTTTTATAATAGAATTTGAAAACGTAACTTGTCAAAATATGATCCATGGAACACTAATCTAACAATCTATTTTAAAAGCTTTCAAATGCTAAGAGAATTACATACTATTGTCTATACAAAAAGGAAAAGTTAATCTAACCATGCTTTAAGCATTTTTTTCCAAAAGGAAAGCATTTAAAAAATTCTGGTTTAGGAATATGTGAAAAATCTACCATTTAATAAAGTTATCCTCTTTCAAATTACTTTACCACTACTTAAAGGAGGATATATAGAGTTGTTCATGTTGATAAAGGTAAAATATTACACTTGCCTCCTACATATTCCTTAGCTTAATCTGATTTTACAGTAATAAGCTGAAACTTATTTTCTACATGACTGAATGCAGAGATTAAGTTTGGGCTAGTAAAATTAGTATCTGGTCTTACCAGTGTTTAATGTTTTTAAACATTTAACCATTGAACAAAAGATTGATACTATACTTCAAGGGAATTATGCCTTTATCTCTTATGGTCTTTTAAATCAAAATAGAAGCTCGACTAACGTTCATAGAAATACAAATAAAAATTCAAATCAGTTAAATCAAAAGATTTTGTTACAGTAAGAATAACTTTACCAGTCTATCTTTAATTCATCATACAGGACCCAATGTTCTGAAGCTCTGTTACTGGATGTACTGTAATTAAGTTAATAATGGATATAATAGTTGTGATTGATTTGATTTCATCCACTCAAAATATTCTCCCAAGTCCTGTATACCTGTAAGTAATTTATCTATTCTTAGATTTGTTTTGTATTCAGAATAGAATTATCACTTTGGATGAAACAAGACAAAGTTTTTATAAATGTTGTATAAAGGGTTCTGGGAAACATGTACAACTTATTTTACTAAATACACTGGAGCTGGCTCTATAAAAGTATGGTACCCTGAAATGAAGAGACTCACCAAAGTTCTCTGGGTATATAGCTGTATGTAGCTGTGATTTAGGTGGACTAGTTAAAGAAACAAGACAGGCTCTAGAAATACTTTTTTCTCTCTTTCAGTTCTACCAGACTTCAATGCTTTAATATTTATCTCTTGAACCTTTTGCATTTTTCAGTTAAAGTATGCCATCTAACTACCGAAAAATTATCCTTGATATGATTCAAGAGGTGCATAACACCATTGAAAATAAAATACAAGGTAACTGGGTCAAAGGAAACCAATCTGATTATCAAACTCACTTAGTAGCTACCATCCCACATTATAATAGATAGGCCTATGAGGAAATATGTATACAGCTCTGCTACAGTTATTTTTAACAGGAAAGTGAAGCTAAATCTTAATACTGGAGTGACGTTCTGAAATTAAACAACAACAAAAAAATACATATATACATAATTACCATTCAAAATCTCTTAGGAATGTGTCTTATTGGAAAACACTATTGCTCAATTAAAACATTATATTGGGGACTAACTTCTCATATTAAGTCCCACCTAGACAATTTTTCCTTTGGTGTAGATACAGATGGCTGTTTATTTAGTGAGGTACCAGAATTAGTCAAAGGTTTGCTTTTAGAGGTCATGAGTTATGACTCACCCTTAGGAGAGTGAATTGCTTCCATTCTGAGAGGCACATGAAAATTCAGCCTCCTAAGAGAACAACAGATTCACATCTCTTGCTTCAAGCTGCCTACAGGACATATGCTTATAAATGAGAGGTGGAGAAAGGCCCCTAATAACATTTAATTTTATCTCTAGCTTTGTCCTGTACTAAGCTTTTCTTATATTAAGTGCATGTTTTGCTTAGTTACAAAATCACAAAATTGGGTTTATTTTCATTTGTAGACTCATAGCTAAACATAAATTGGCAAACTATATAAATTTACAAATACCTTATTCATGTAAGCGTTTAATCTCATGTTTAGGACTTTATCAAGTTAAATTTTAAGATGTCAAAGTATAAAATTCAATTAGTTACAGGATTATAAAATACATAGACCAAATCTATAGGGTCTACGATGAACTTCATCTTTTTTACTGATTTCCTATCTTTGTTTCCTATAAATCCTACCCCACCCACTTCTGTTATTCAAAAAATGTCATGCTCTCTATTACCATTGAGTTCACTTCTAAACATCGGCTTTTGTCTTCCATAACTTGACTCTGGTTTACTTTCAACTTTAGACACCACTACTTCTACATACATACTGGTTTGGTTCTCCTAATCATTGTCACATAATCATTTTCTTTCTTTCATCTTCACAGTTTGTTTATCACGTATCTTTGGTCCTGAACAGTCTTCCTTCCCACCAGCAGTTTCCAACCTACCTCCTATCAACTATGTTACAACCAAAGCAAGTCTTATGTCCTCCAATTCTGCCAGAATACTTCCCTCTTCTTAGCTCGTAGGATGACAACTATTAATACCTCATCATTTTATTGAGAATTTATATTCTAGTTAGAGCCAAGTTCTTTTTTTATACTATTTTACTCAATAGTTAAACCAGTGCAATAGAAGGATGAGTACTCTCATGTTACAAGCAGGATAACACAGGCTGAGAAGTTAAGTAAATGACTCGAGGTAAAAATTACTAGGATAGAGGAGCTGGGACATGAATCAAGAACCATTTAAGCCTCAAATTATGCTCTCTCTCTCTCTCTCTCTCTCTCTCTCTCTCTCTCTCTATATATATATATATATATATATATATATATATATATATATATATATGAAGAAGCCTCACAACACCCTTGTGCATTCCATTTAGACTTACTAAATTTCTATGTTATTATTCCTACTGTGTTTTATGTGAGTTATCGCTAATCGATTAGATTTTGATTAAACAAAAGACATTTCCTAAACATCCCAATGACAGTCCAAAACACAGAAAGTGTTTAATAAAATTATTGAACCATTTTCTAATAAGAACAAACTGAGGTAATTTATCTAATTTTTTTTCTGATGCCACCAGCAACAAAGTACAGTAGTTTGTTAAAAACAACAACATAGTGGGCCAGGTGCGGTGGCTCATGCCTTTAATCCCAGCACTTTGTGAGGCCGAGGCTGGCGGATCACCTGAGGTCAGGAGTTCAAGACCAGCCTGGCCAACATGGTAAAACCCTCTCTCTACAAAAATACAAAAATTAGCCGGGCATGATGGTGGGTGCCTGTAACCCCAACTACTCAGGAGGCTGGGGTGGAAGAATTGCTTGAACCTGGGAGATGGAGGTTGCAGTGAGCCAAGATTGTGCCATTGCACTCCAGCCTGGGCAACAGAGCAAGACTCCATCTCAAAATAATAATAATAATAATAAACCGTAGTGTGGAGAAAAAGGAATGCCTATACAGTGTTGGCGTGAGCGTAAAGACAGTATGGCAATTCCTCCAAGTCCTAAAGACAAAAATACCATTTGATCCAGCAACCCCATTATTGTGTAGATACCCAAAGGAATATAAACTGTTCTATTATAAAGACACATGCACACATGTGATCACTGCAGCACTATTCACAACAGCAAAAACATAGAATCAACATAAATGCCCATCTATGGCAAATTGGATAAAGAAAATGTGGTACATATATAACATAGAATGCTATGCAGCCATTAAAAAAGAATGAGATTATGTCCTTTTCAAGAACATGGATGGAACTGGAGGCCATCATTTATAGCAAAGTAATGCAGGAACAGAAAACCAAATACTGCATGCTCTCACGTATAAATGGGAGATAAAATGATGAGAACACATGGACACAGAGGGAAGCAACATAGAGTGGAGCCTATTGGAGGGTGGGAGGAGGGAAGGGATCAGAAAAAACACCCAATGGATACTAGGCTTAATACCTGGGTGATAAAGCAGTCTGTACAATAAGCCCTTATGACACAAGTTTACTTACATGACAAATTGGCACATGCACCGCTGAACTTAAAATACAGGTATAAAGAAGAAACCACATAGAATAAAAAATTCATATGGAATTGTTACTAAACTCTGCTATAATAAGAGTTCATTTTGCTCCTGTAGTTCTCAAGTTCCTTATCAGTAAATTAAGCTTAATTGTAAGGTCATTTCAAGCTATAAAATTCTGGTCCAACCCAGGAGTATTAAAGCTGTTCAAATGAGATAAATGTAAATCGTCTTCAATATGAAATGCTATATAGATATATAGGACTGTAATTAATTTGGGTTTAAGTCTAATATGAATAATAATAAATTCATTTGCAGCATGTCCTAGTAACTAGGGGATTTGATCTGTTTAGATTTAATTCCCAAAAATATATTGAAATTGAATTGTATTTTTATACAGAAATCAGATTAACAGCCAATATTATACACA